GGGGGGTGGCAGATTTATGATCTTATCTGGCGGGGTCCTTTATTAAATATTCTGATATAGGTGATGCTAACACTTGGTTATTACAAACAATGAATCAATTTAAGCAATATGGATTACGTCGTCTTGAACAAGTTCAAGCTATACCATTTTTATTAATTGACGAAGCTTATTTGTGGTACGTAGAACATATTGATTTAATCACCAGTTTTGAATTATTTAGTAAATTATTTGTTCAACAATACTCATCTACATCATCAACAAAACAAAATAATACATCTGTAGAGACGGTTGCTCCGTCAATTACTGCTCCAAGTTTTTTATCTATATCACATCTACAGCAAACGATCGCTGATGAGATTATTAAAAAACCAACATATTTTTGCGGTTCAAAAGATGATATTCATGATTGGTTAGACAAATTAGAACAACGTTTTAAAATGGCAAAATGAAATGATGAAGAAAAATTACAATATATTCCAGTACATCTACAAGATGATGCATCTCGATGGTGAACACAAGCATCCATATCGATTAAAACATGGTCATCATTTACTGAAGCTGTTATAAAAGTTTTTGGATCAACAAAAGTACAAGAATTAGCATTCGAACAATTAAAATGGTACAAACAAACAGTTAATCAACCTGTTACGCAATATTATGATAAAATTATAGAACTGTGCAAGAAAGTTGATGCAGCTATTTCTGATTCATTGAAATTAAAATATTTAATGGCTGGTATAAGAGAATCATTAAAATTACATGTTGCTTTACAGCATCCAAAGACAACTGATGCATTTTTATCGCTCGCCACAAAAATTGATGATACATTATTATTTACTACTACAGATAATGAAATTAACATCAATACTATCACTACTCAAAAATCATTAGAACAAACAACTATTTCACAAAAATCATAAAAAATATTCGACAAAATATACGTTCACAAGAGCAATCGTAATCACGTCTAAATTATCAACGTACTACGCAAAGTTTGTATAAAAAAAACTCAACATTATGAACCTTCAAGATATTCACAATATTCACAACAATCAAATTGTTGTTATAAATGTGGTACTCTTGGTTATTATGCTCGGGATTGTACCCGTACCCATTTCGGGTAAAGGAGGCAACGATGGGTGGTGTTGCTTCCAATAGTTTACATAGAAATCCATCGACTCTAAATACAACTTTACTATATATTAATGTTATTGTAAATAATAAAAAGTGAAGGTAATGATGGATACAGGTGCAAATCGATTTTTTATTTCAATCAAAGCATTAGATCCATCCTATGATAAGCAATTTATTAATAAATCACATAGTCGTGCAATTTTAGCTGATGGTTATACATCTCTTTCTGTATTTGGTACAATGAATTTATTTATTATGATGGGTGATATGTCAACTTCTATTAAGGCATTATTCGTTAAAGAATTATGTGCAAATTGTATATTAGGTATGGATTTCATTCATAAATATAAATTATTTATTAATACTGAAGAACAAATAGTTTCCATTAGTGATAATTATAAACGTATCACATTAAAATTTGATATTAACAAAGGTGATATAAGATATCCTGCACGCCTAATTAATAATGTTCGGATTCCACCAAAGTGATCAGTAACAGTTCCTGTATCTGTAGAATTATCATTAGCTAAAGTATTATTTCGTCCATGCTTTAAATTATAACAACGGTTACCTATATTTACGTTAAATTCTTCGTTTAACTATTCATCATCATGCTTCATCTATTTCACTTCATAATCGAACAACTTTCTCATGGTTATTACCGAAAGGAATTATTTTGGGAACAACAACTATTCCTACATTATCCTTTAAAAGAAACTCAATTATTGATCATCGATCAGTAAATAGCAACATTACTAATTTAACTCGACATATTGATAATCCTGAACAACAAGATAGAGTTGAAACTCTTCTTTATCAGTTTGCAAAATTATTTGATACTATTATCCATTTCAAAATATAATGTGCTCCACTGTTTTTTGAATAACTCGAGAACGCAAACAGCTAGAGATCTGCGGTTTTCACAAATCGAAAGAGGAGACTAGGGCACGTCTTTTTCCCAATATTGTATAAGACGAAATCATTTTAAAATCAGTCATCTTTGCAAGACACCGAAAAAAATGTACAAAAACAATCTGTCATTTAGATGAAATTTTGACAATAAGTAAATTTGCTTAAAAATCAAAAGAGTTTCATGACTTTCATGCAAGTAAATAGACGACTTTATTTGCTCAACATTAGGATAGAGGAAGATAATCATTCCAATTAGATCTTGAATTATAGATCTGAAGTTCTTCTCTATAGATCACGTGCCAAAATCAAAATTTCATCGGAATGATAGATCGCTTTCATGCACCTTTTGTCGTGTTTTGCAGAAATTACTGGTTTTAAAATGACTTTCGTCTTATACAATATTGGAGAAAAAGACGTGCCCCCGTCTTCTCCTTCGATTGATGAAAACCACAGATCTCTAGCTGCTTGCGTTCTCAACTTATTGAAAAAACACTGGAGCACATTATATTTTGAAATGGACAATAGTAAATTAACAATTGCTACTAATGTAAAACCTCATGCTATTAAAACACTTGATCATCCTCCACCAGTATCCAAATTATATTATTCTACTTCAAGTAAACAAGAAGAAATGTATAAGATAATACAAGAATTATTGCATTTTGGATTAATTCGTCCATCTGATTCTCCATATGCAGCACTAGCATTACTGGTAGCTAAGCACGATGGTACATGGAGAATGGTAGTCGATTATAAAAAATTAAATAATATTACTATTAAGGATAATCATCCATTACCCAATATGAAACAAGCAATACAATTATTAGGTGGTGGTTATAAATTTTTTTCCAAACTTGATATGAAGAGTGGATTTTGGCAAATTCCAATTAAAGAACAAGCCAAATTTAAAACTGCATTTATTACACCAGATGGTCTTTTCGAATGGAATGTGCTGGCTCAAAGTCTCAAGAATATCCCACTATCTTTTCAACGAGTAATGACTGATATATTATCTACATGTCGGCAATTCTCGTTGGTTTATATTGATGATATCGTGGTGTGTTCTCGTTCATTTGAAGAACATCTCAATCATCTTACACAAGTATTATCTGCTTTATCCAAACATAATTTTCAATTTAACCCGATCAAATATAGTATTTTTCATCAACAAATCGATTACTTATCTCATACGATATCTAAACATGGTGTTAAATCAACCAATGAAAAAATTCAAGCAATTATTAAATTACGACAACCTACTAAATTAGCTGAAGCAAATAAATTTCTTGATGCTCTTTCGTAGTATCGTAAATTTATACCCAAATTTGCAACAATTGCTGCACCTATGCATGCTGTAACAAACTTAACAAAAACAAATAGACACAAATTCGAATGGGGTGCTTCTCAATCTCAAGCATTTTCACAATTGAAACAATTATTAATTACTTCTCTATTATTTCTTGATTTTTCTGATGATAGTTATCCTGTTATATTACCAACAGATGTATCAAAAATTGGTATTAGCGGTATATTACAACAAAATATTAATGGTGAAATAAAAAATTTATATTATCATTCTCAAGTTACATCTACTCAACGACGATATGATCCTATTGAATTAAAAGCATTAGCCATATGGTTATGTTTTCAACGAATGCGATCTTATCTACTTCGTAGATCTATTATAATTTATACTGATCATTGTCCTTTATGCAAAATGATGAACTCATCGGTGAAAAATCGATGAGTGGATCGAATTTCTATTTTATTGCAAGAATATAATACCGAAAAAATTATTCATATTAGAGATCAACATAATTGTTTAGCTGATTATTTATCTCGTCATCCAATACAAAATGATGAAGAAATATTTGATGAGGACTATGGCATAAGCATGTTATTTCAGGAGGAACCACTGGAGACGGTGCATGCTCCTGTCAATCATCCTCCAGTTATTGATGCTGTTGTTACACGTTCAAAAATGAAACAAATAAAACAACAGCAAAATGAAAATGACAAAATTACACCACCCACTGTAAATGATATATCATCGTCATCAAGTAAAGGCAAAATTGAACATTCAAATAAATCTCCATCACACTTAATTACGTCTAACAATTTTGATATAACTCAAATTAAACTTGAACAGTCAGAAGATTCAAATATTCAGAAGAAGATTAAAGAAGTTATGCAAGATCCAACAAAACATTCTTATGTTGTTACAGATGGTTTATTATATAAATTGATATTAATGAATGTTGCTAGTAATAATAAGAAGAAAGTAATTTATTTACCTTCAGCCATAATCAATTCCCTCCTGCACTCATACCACAATGATTCACTTAGTGGTCATTTTGGCATTCAGCGAACATATTTAAAAAATTAAAAAATAAATTCTGGTGGCCAAATATGAAACAATCAATTATTCAACATATTCAATCTTGTTTATCTTGTCAACAACATAATATTAGTCATACAAAGAAACCAGGTCAATTTAATCCAATTCCAACTCCAGAAGGACCATTTCAATTAATAGGTATTGATTATTGTGATCCGTTCAAACCAACATCTCGTGGTAATCAATATGTATTATGTATTACTGATTATTTTACAAAATGGATGACTGCAATAGCTTTACCTGATTGTTCAGCACAAACCACGGCTCAAACATTATTTAATAATTATATTTGTCAATATGGTGTACCATTAGCTATATTATCTGATCAAGGTACTCATTTTAAAAATTAACTTATGGAACCCATAGCAAAATTAATTGGTTACAATCATATTTTTTCAAGTGTTTATCACCCACAAAGTAATGAGATGATTGAACGTTTTAATGCAACATTCGTTCCTCACATTGCCAAACTTTAAGATCTGGAAAATAACAATTGGGATGAATTCTTATCACCAGTGTTATTTGCTTACAACACCGGCATCTATGCAACGACTAATTATTCACCATTTCAACTACAATTTGATCGAGAACCACATTTACCTACTGATGAACCTTCATCATCATTTACTTTCAATAAACCAAATGATTATTATGTACAATTGAAAAAAAATCTGTTGATAATACAACAACACGCACGTGATAATATTATTCGGCGACAACGATAATACAAGATTAGTTATGATAAACAACGTCCAGATCCACATTATGAAATCAATGATCCAGTACTGATTAAAATTCATGGAATAAAGAAAAAATTAGAACCAAAATATTCGATTACACCAAAAATAATTATTAGGAAACAACATCCAATTGATTGGGTCAAACATGAAAAAATACAGGTCGAATCCAGAGTACATGTTAATGATATTCGACCTATTCTTATTTTAAAATCAACATGATATATTATTGTTTAGTTATTTGCTAATATGATCATTAAATGTTTATGTTATGCTATGTTTATAGTGATTCGATGTTTGATCATCTTTGTTGTATGCGCAACGACTTAGTTGAACTAACATCGATTCGTTATGCTTGTGAACATATTGATATTTTAATTATCGCACATTAATTATCAATATAATTATCATTTGCATATGATTAGCATTAACAAATATTGGTTATTACAAATTCAAATAAATTACACATAGGAAATCTTCTCTTTCAGAAGCATTTCTGTTTTCAACAAACAAAATTATTTATGTTTTAACTTTACACATATTACATATTTTATTAATATACTAACGATATCTATGTATGCAATCTCGATACGTTTATCCCTCATAACGAATGATAAATTATATAATTTATTTGTTTACCTTATTTATATTAATCTTTTTTTCTCTTCACTTATTTTATATCAATTTGTTTAATCTTCTTTTCTTTAGTCATAATAATATTAGATAAATTTGTTTCATATCATTTACGTGATGTTAACAATCCTCCAGCTCATCTTGATGACAATCAAAAATCGAATTGGATACGTGCTGTAAAAAAAAGGCGGAGAAAAATTATCAATATCAACAATAATATCCAACATTTGATATACCAACATCACTTTATGAAAATATATATATGTAAACAAATATACAACAACTGAAACAATGCAAAAAAATGAATTAATCATGTACGAAATTGTAATGAATTTACGTTTGATACTGAAGATGAAAAATCAACCAAACAATTAGCATTAATTCAAATTCAAACAATATCTCAACAATTACCATTTTTTGCTATATTAATAGAACTTGCACATTTACCACCAATTCATTCATTAATTCATTTACAAATTAAATAATTATTTGAATTAATTTTTAAATTTAGAAATAACATATATTCTTGGAAACCATTACATAAGGAAATTTATCCAGCTATTGTTTATCAATGGTTTGAATGGCAAACTAAAACATCAGCGGTTAATCTTCAACTTAAATTTGCTGATTGGTATAGTTGGGCACTATCTCATTACAAGATGTGTAGCCTGTCAAATCGTCGTAATATTATTATTAATGATATTAATTCTGATGGACAAATGAATTTATTATCAAAATGTACCTGTCATAAACCAAGTCCTTATCGTCCTAATGAACCATGAGCATTACAACAAGCTTTAATTTATACATATGGAATATTTATTGACAAGTCAATTACTGTTAATGAATGGGCAATGGAATTAGATCCAATGTACTCAACCTTATCAACATCAAAAGGAAATAAGATGATACATTACGAAATATATGATTGTTTTGCAGAAACGTATTTCATTCGACCTGTTACATTGTATTGGACATTTCAACAGGTAGCAAAAATTAATATTCTTGATTCATTTCAGGCATTACTACCATCATCACGAGCTAATAACAACTCAACAAATACAAATATTAATCAACAAATAATTAAGAATATTAATGATGATATTGAATTAATCTCCGATGATGATAATAATGATGATGAAATAACAGTTAATCAATGTTTTGAAATTACTATTAATAATGATATATTATATGAAGCAATATCAGATGATGATAATGAACCAAATCCTGCATTACCACCAAATGATAATGATTTATGTGTCAACAACCATGATATGGTTGATGATGTCAGTGATTATGAACAACAATAACAATCTTTAACTAAGAAACGTCAATTACATAGTCGAATACGATCAGCTGAGGCTCGAAAACGACGAAATCGAAAAAGAAATCTTTATTTCCGAATGCAACGTTATAGATATTTTATCACTGGTCCATTCTACTACAGATTTACAATGAAATTAGTTCGACATATTCTTACTGGATACAATATTTATTATACTCATGTCAAACCGGTTGATGATTTATTACTTATTTGTGTAAAAGACAAAATAATTGAACCACAAAATGAACGAAGATTACTCGGTGATATATTTGATCGACGTCATTATTACTTTTTTCGTCGTCAAGTTCAATATTTATCAAGAAGATCAAATGATATACAAGAGTAAACAACAATAGTAAACATTTTTTTTTCTCTTTCTATTGTTGTATTTTTTTATTATTGTCAGATTTTTTCTCTATAGTGTATTTTTTTTCGTTATGTTTTATATTTCCTTCATGATATCATATGAACATTTGTTCCTACTGTTTTTTTCTTTTTCTCTTTCATTTGATGCATTTACAGTTATGTTATTATGTTTAAAAAAAAAAGAAAAGTGTTTTGTAAACAAAAACTGTTTTTCCTTGTCCGAGAAGGGTGTCATATCCGGCATCTGTATTGTCATTCTTTTTTTCTTGTTATACCTGGTGATGCTTATATATATATATGTGACATACACTTGACTGGTCAGATCATCTTTTTTGAAATAAAAGTTATGTTTGTCCTCAAACGACCTCACATTTGCCCTTAAATTTATTCTAACAAAAGGAGAACACAATAGATAGGTCGGAAATTCCCATAGGTAGGTAGAAAATTCCCATAGGTAGGTAGGAAATTCCCATCAACAGGTCGAAAATTTCCATCAACACGTCGAAAATTCCCATCGATGCATGGGGAACTTCCATAGATAAGTGGGAAATTCTTATCGACACGTGGGGAATTCCCACCGAAAAGCGCAGAATTTGGACTGATAAGTGTGCGCATTTCTATTAATAGGTGGGGAATCCCCATCAATAGGTGGGGAATTTCTACTCATTGTCAGTTAGATAAAAAAAGCACGCTTGCGTCGATATTCATCTCATTCCCTCTTAATATTCAAATTATAAAGCCGAACCATTATTGCAAGAGCATACCATTTACATACTTGCTCATATTTATCTACTATTCTCTCATCAGCGTCGAACAGCAACAAATGACAATGCAAAAGACCATTCAAATGGTATGTTTAATTGCCATTTTGGCAATCATGATAACAAGCTGCATGGTACAAGCAGCACCAGTCGAAGAAGCACTAATTGAAGACTTGGTTATTCGTCGTCT